CTCATTTGCCTGGAAGTGGCCTTGTGACCAGAGCTTTTCTTTCAGGATAAGCCTGGCTGGTGGCGTAATCTTGAAGCCTAGGCCTTGGATAGGTTCAAGCCGAAAGATCCCTGCCTTATTAGAAGCGATAATTTAAAGACCTACTTCACGTCATCCTGCGTCTTCTTTTGCAAGCTGTGCCACGAGGGGGCTCCAAACCAGGCCGGACTGTGCCAGACAGACCCAAAAACGCGCGTGTAATGCGCAATCTGACCATCTCTTCATGTCATTCGATTCGATTGCTCATAGGCGCAGCCCTTGCTCACGCCAACCCTGCAAGTACCCATTGACCTTCACAACTGCCTTGTCATGGTCCTGGCCAGGTATGCACAGCGTTTTGCGAGCCGGGCTATGTACCTTGGCATCACGCCAGGTATGCAGCATCTCAAAACCTAACGCCAGCCAGCGAAACCCAAGCACTCGGTGGAGCGGAGGCCAAACTTAAACAACATCTCCAGGCTACAACGGCTAAGAAAGCATCGCTTGTCAAATTGGAGTGCGCTCCTTTAGCCGGGTGAAATATGTGAGCTGCTTTCGCTGGGACTGGGGAGCGGGGGTGTTCATGGAGGAGGGGAAGACAAGCAGCACCAAGCCTGTTCCCAACCAAGGGAACTCATTGTCTTTCTCATGTGGAGCCAGTTGTCACAACTGTCGAAAGGGCTTGCAAACCTAAGCTCCAGCTAGACCATCCTATTGGAATTTCAAACTTGTGGGTCGGGCTGATCCATGGTGTAGATGGCAAATAGAGACCTTGCAAACATAAGCTGTGATCGACATGAACACAACTCGGAGTGCCTTTGAGGCAATGTGCTTGCACGACTCTTGCACAAGTTCTCAGGATGCCGTGAGTATCCTTGCAGGCAATACTACCGTCGATCTTTTCAGTAGCCCAGGACGCGGCGAGAATCACAATTGACTTTGCCGTGAAAGCGGCATTCTGCACCCGTTAGGAATGTTGGCAGATGCCTCGTTTTTTTGATTGGCAAGCCAAGGACATTGTCGGGAATGCCAGCGTTCTGTTATGCTGCTCGACCTGGTTACAAACCCAGCCGCACCTCTCAAAAGTGTACACCGATTGGACAGTCTCTTCCGGCTGTCTACAGGAGCGGCTGCTTTACATTCTGCAAAGCGATGAAAGTTTTGCTGCGAACACTCCATGCTCGCTTCACCTTTCAGCTCGGTCCATGATGTTGAGCAACCTTCTGCAACATCTTGCGGGGTCATCGAACTGCGGGCTGAGGCGATGGTGCGCCACCCAGCAGCGCAGGTTTCACGGAGTTCGTCCCAGGCGGGAACACGAAATGGCATTATGCATCATACCAGTGATCAGGTCTTCACGAACTGTAACAAGAATCTCAACATTCGTGTGTGAATAGCCCTGGTACAGGAGCATGCGCAGTAAGAGAATCACTGTTGCAGAAATTGGTGTGCAGCTGAAATCCTTCTGCCTGTGTTGCTTTGCGGGATGGTCTAATGAAGCCTCAACAGTGAGAAACCTGGAGAGTGGAGCTTGCTGTCCTGCCACTTTTCAACGGGCCCGGAGGGTTCGAGGGGTTCCATGCTGAGCTGCGCGGTGATTTTGATGCTTTCGATGATCGCTTTTGCCCCTTAGCTCCTTCGACGGCTCCTTGAACGTGTGGAGAGTCCCGAGGTACTACGCAGAATTGGCCAGCCGCAGATGCGCGCGGCCCTACCTGCACGGCCAGGATTGGACCTGGAATTTTAGGGTCCCACCAGGGTTTTGGCTACTGTATGTATTTATTCTTGCATCTTGCAAGGCTTGTAGAAGTAGCACGTAGGATGACTTCTAGATGGGCATCCACAAGCTTCCACGTCGTGATGTGATCCGGGTCCTGCAACGCTATTTACCTCACTTGTGGTGTCCCGTACAACGTTCAAGGACGTGCACTGGAGCACCGGACAGCCCTTTGCTGGCTCACAACTGTTCATCTGCGCAGACGGGTGAGAGCTGCATTGTGCAAGCAGCGCGGTTCAAATCTGCTCAGGGTACAGTACCTTATTCTGAACTCATTTCTGCTTCTCTGAGATACATGATATGTTCACAGGCATGGATCATGTAAGCGCCTCTTGCGGCTCGTAGGCATCCTTTTTCGATCGCAGACCAGGTTCTGAAGGGCTTTGGTGAGAGTCTTACGGTTTAGGGTTTGTCCGGAGAAGCGAAGGCTGTTTCCTAGCCGTTTTTACAACATGTAGCACATCCTCGGCCTAGGCCGTGTTGCCTTACGAGCTGGAGGCTACGAGTTCTGCAGAGCTAGTGCCTTGGCAAGTCCAGACAAGCCTGAAACTTGATCGAAAGGGTCTCAGAAGTTTCCTGTCCCTTGCTCTCACTTCTCATCACGATCGGCCTTCACATCAGACCGCGGAAGAGCGTCTTCGATTGCAGTCCACCTGTTCTATCTAGTGACTAGTCATGTAAGCAATAAGATCTTCTGGCATCGGCCGGGCGCCTCCTAGTTCACCCTTTCTCCTTCACAGTCTGCCTTGGGCCCCCTGTCTTCAGGTTCTTGAGCTGTCGATCTTTTGTCTCTCTTTTTTCTGCTTTGCGCAAGATCCACTCATCTTTGGGTGTTTTCAAGTTGAAATCTCGTTGGCCTTCTCGATCTTGTGGATGGTTTAACACTCCTGTCATTCGCTGACATCGGAGAGCCATGAATTTCTGAAGCGACAGTTTGTGTGGCAGTAGTTGAACATGATGGAAGTGAAGCATGCTACTGAGGTCTGCCAATCGAGTGGCCACTTTGCTTGAGAATTCGAAAGATTGGGCCTGCCCGGGGCTACCCCGCTTCTGTCGTGTCAACAAAGGGGAAAAACGGTCCGTGTTTCAGGATGTGTCAAGTCTTGATGCAGCAGAGAGAAAGACTTACCAGGGCAGACTTGGAGTTTGATGGCAGGCTTCTGGTATCCAGCAACTTCCTGGTTCTCACGCCCAGACACGCCACAGCCAAGGCTTCTTTACTGGCACTATCCCGGCAATCGTTCCTGCCATTTGTCCAGAGCCCGCCTTCGGGGATGGCGTGGGCAGTACTTGCCAGAACAAGTCGGTTGGTGCAGAATGCTGGGCGTACTGCTTGAAGGAGCTGGGAATGGGGGGATCGACGTAAATGGAAGAAAAGCTTCGTCCTTGAGCCTCCGTCAGGCCCTGCATCCTGGATCATCATCTGTGTTAGGTTCTGAAAGTGAAGCTGCACGGGCTCACATTGGTGTCAGACAGCGATTTTTTCTAACCTACAAAGTGAACGTTTTTTTTTTGCAAACAAAGACATGAACTCAAACGCTCAGGCTGTTGCCCTAGGCAACTGTCGGCAGGGCGAGGGAGTTAAGGCGACCTCAGGTGCGGACTCATTGAAGAGAGTTTTAAAGATATTCCCTGCGCACGGTTGAGGATAGTTTTGGTAGTTTCCATAAAAAGGGGGACCCCAATAGTAGATCCCCAAATACTAAAGTCCCTTTTTAAGGACTCCACCCCAAAAGGTACCCCTAATTTTTGGGAAGTTCAGCGAGCTTGAAGCAGTGCACGGACGTCTCACATATTTGGACTGTTTCAGTTGGCTTCACGGGATCCTAGGTAGGGGTTTGCTAGCACAGGCGTCTCTACAGCGTCATGAAATCCCAGAAATGAAATCACAACCCTGTAGTGACCTTAAGCGGATTTCCTGAAACAATGGTGCCTGCAAAGATGTTTTTGCTGGAAACCATGAAAAATGCAGCTGGAGGACTATGTTGGGGTCGCTCGACGCTACAACTGCCAGTTCAACACGACAAGCAATGCAGTGGAAATTCAGCAAGCAGGCGAAGGCATCATGTGCGAGCTGACTCTCGGCACGGGAAGGGTGTTCCGTATCGGCGGGACGCACGGGCTGCCTCCGCCGACATTGGGATTGCTTGCTCAAATGCACAGCTATGGGGGCTTGTAGTGGGCTCCCGAACCCGCAAGCAAACTCAGGGCTGTGGAGAGTCTCGTTGACATTTCCTTCTGATCACAAGTAGCCCACGGCGAAGGAACATCACCTCCGCTCGACGGCTGGCAGCTGCAAGCCCTTGTTCGCCAAACTCAGCACTCTGGCACTTTGGGGCATTTTGGGGTCTTCGCGTCATTAGCTTTCGGATCGGTAGTCTGTACAGGCATGCGGCTTCAGTTGCAGGAAGCACCGTTTCTGCAAAGATTTTGTCTCGAGGCTGTAGCTGCTGGTCTGACCCAGCAGCAGTTCACGCACAGCTGTGGCAACCAGCAGCACGACGACGTTTGCCTGGCACACTGCAGCTTGGGATTCACCATGGTCGAGGACGCTACTGTTTACACTGTGCTAAGCTCAGGCTTGGGTTACATACGTGCAGCGAGAAACCAGCAATCGCTGCTGCAGGAGACGCCCGTTGTTATGGTTTGCGACAGTGGCGCCTTTGTTGGTGCTGGGCTTCCAACGTGTCCCACTGCGAAGAAGGTAAGTTTTTTCTGCAAACGCTTCGCAGTTTTTTTTCTCAATCGTGCGCGCTTAAAAGTGAAGGTCCTTCGGCCTGATAGCAAAGTATTGGGGGCCTTCAGAACGGCTATCAAGCCGAGACAAAGCCTGCTGTCAACTCCCCACTCATTTTGAACACCACTTTTTATGCCGCTGCGTTGCACCTTCTTGATGTTCTTGCCACCCCAACAGGAGGCATTGCAGGTTCGTCCTTGGTCTGCCCGGGTCAGCGCATGAGTCTGCATTCATGTCGCATGTATGTTGGAATTGTTCGGGTGATGATGTTTGATGCATGATGGATTCTGCGAGCTGTCTGGATGAGTCTATCATTTCAAGCGTGAAGAAACGAGACTAGACAATACTACGATGCAGCAAATCAAGCATGCTGCGGCTGGAGCATACAGGCAGTTGTCCGGCTTCCCAGACATGCGACAGGGGCCGGTGCACAGCCTGTTCATTTCAAGACTACAAGCTCGTGTGTGTATGCAACACAAGCAGCAAAGGTGCATTGGCCAGCCATGCAACCACTCGCTGCCGCAAGGTTCGGGTGCTGGTGCTTCTGGTTTGGGCTGTGCTGAGATTGGTTGGGATGGTTTAGAATCTTAGGTTTCTTCCTTTCTGGACCTTTCAATATTACCACAATAAAAACGGAGCAAAAGCTGTGACTGGATGAGCCCGGCAGGAAAAAGGTGTAAGCGTGCTAGATATAATGGAAGCTCTGTCCCAGGCGCAGGTGTGCAGCACAACTGCAATGGAGTCACTGCCTTCGGCACGTGCGATGCGACCTGCGGACAGGTTCCATGGCGCAGTGGCCTTGTTTGAAGGGTTCAAAGCCTAAATCACGAGTCTGCAAACCTGATAAGGCTGGCTACACATACGCGGCAGGGTCTGCTTCGGGCGTCTTCACCTGCATGCCCTGGGGCAGCTTCCAAGGCCCATGTGGTTTGCCTGAATTTCAGGGCACTTCTCGTCACATGTCTTTCAGGAGACCTGCCCTCCTGCGAGCCGATCTCATGCCAGGACCTACCCATGTACGCTCCTTTCTGCAGTGTGTTCAGCCGTAATCCTTTCCTCCTAATATTAAATGGCTTCCCCCCCCCCCCCAAAGGTAAATACTCCCGCCCATATTTAACATTAGGAGGGTGTATTTATCGTACGACCCGAACATTAGGGGGGATAGTTAAGAGCATACTAAAATCGTACAGAATTCGATTAAGGCTAATAAGGTGCCTTATTAGGGACTATTTCAAATTAGGGCCTTATTAGGGACTATTTCAAAGTAGGGCCTTATTAGGGACGATTTCAAATTAGGGCCTCATTAGGGATTAGCTCAAACCAGGACCTTAATTATGAAGGGACTAGTTCAAATAGAACCTTGGACTCAGTTGCTGCAATTCTTCTATATAAATTCCTTTTTTAAATCCATTCAAAAACTATCAAAATCTAGGAAATCAAGGAGATCCCTAATCCTTAAGAGTCGTGCCAAAGCCGCCCCCTAGTTCAAACGATCCGAGTCGTAGTTGACTTGGCCCTTTCAAAAATAGTCTTGGGCGCAGATTTCAGCATTTGCATTTTTTTTGGCGAGCCCGTATTTCATATTGGGGGGGGTTAATATTAGGGGGAAGGGATTACATGGTCAGCGCACCAGTAAACTGCGTAGTTGGGAATTCGAGAAGGCATCGTCGTTGCAGTTCTGATTGGCTGGCTGTATGATGGGGGACCAGCGATAAGACAGCGAGCCCCCTCATAATGGAGGACCTGGTTCTGGACAGCATGTTCTCCCACAACTGCAAGTCCAAGCGTTATGGGGACACGTGCGGTGTGAGCTGTGCCACTGGGTGTCCTGGCTAAGGACAGCTTCATGTTTTGAGCCCTGCGATCCCGCCGTACAAGACACCAGCAATCAATCTCGAACTCCACACAAGCATGTAAAGCAGGAAGATTTGAGCAGCGAGCTGTTTCTGGAAGGCAAAAGAGAGTCGTTGCTAGTTATTGTATAAGAGGTTGTCTATGTGATCCTTGTTCATCGCTTGCCTCGGACGAAGCTTCATTGTTGAGGAGTCTGCTCTGCACTTTCATCCCTGATCCAACTTTACTGTCGTAAAGCCCTCGAATTCCCAACACTGAGCTAGTGGTATTTGGGCGGTGCCTATCCTGCCGTGTGTAACTTTTCACGAGCAAGACCTGACAGTGGTTTCAGTCAAACATGCACGACCTCATCAGAGGTACCACCTAAGCGGCTGGGGCTCCCAGTACGTGTGCGCGGCCGATGGGACTTTCGAAGGAGTCGCCTGAAGCAAATGAGCAAGAGTTCTTGGATGCAACAGCTTGTACTGTAATCTGGCAAGTAGAACCGAGAATACTGGACTGAGCAAGGGCCGGATGGGCATGGTGCGTCCATCTTTAGTTCCTTGCAAGATTAAGCCATCTTTTAATTGCAGGATCTCTTGGAGACCTGGTTAACAGATTGGTGGGGTTCCAAGATGACAGGTCCTTCCACAGTGCCAGGGCAACCCGTGCCAGAACACTCTTGATGACCCTGCGATGGACTCCAGTGCCTGTGACGGTCTCACTATGGGCGGGGAGTGCAATGTCACCTGTCAGCCGGGATATGGATTCAACCAGTCGGTTGTGACCTGCGGAGCATCAGGCTATCTCTCTGGTATCTTGCCAATCTGCAGTCCACTGCCTTGTGCGGCAACTGCAGAGCTACAGCGCCCGACTCTTGCGCACTCCTGCGATTCCGTGCCCTACGGCCAATCCTGCGTGGTCTTCTGTGCCAATGGATATGTATTCAATAATAGCTCTGCCCAGACGTGGGAGTGTGGCTTAAACGCGACTTCTGGACAAACACTGCTGCGTGGGCTGCTACCAAGTTGTGAACCGGAAGCTTGTAGTTCTGGTCTCCCAGCCAGCAGCCCGCGGGCACAGGACAACTGCACTGGAGTCCGGACGGGTGAAGCCTGCGAAAGGACCTGCGCACCTGGCTATGCTGGCCAGGATGTCACATATGTCTGCAACAACGATGGTGCCGCTGTTAGCAATTCCAGTTCCACCTGTGCGCCGCTGGAGTGCGCATTGCCCATAGCTCTAGAGAATCTTGGTCTTTGTTTGGTTTTGTTCTGAGAGACCAAATGCGCCATTTGCAGCCTCGATCCCTACACCTTTATTGTCAGGATATCTCAAAAGACAAAGGGAGACCCGGGTTTTGATGAATGGCTGCACATTGCTTTTGTCTCCCTTTCTTCGAGCCGTTTGGCTGTTCGTGTTCAGGAACGTCATTCACACCTGTAGTGGGGTCGTCTTCGGCAGCAGTTGCTCGGCCTACTGCGCGGCGGGCTATTCCGCTGCAGGCAGCTTGGAGGGCAGGGCAGGACTCCAACTACAGTGTTGCCTTGATTTTTGGAGTTAATCGAGTTTTGCATCAGGTCTTGTTTTGGCTTAATAGAAGGGTTCAAGAGTTCTTGAAACTACTTTTCTATCACAGAGTTTTGCGTTTCCTTCGAGGCAGCAGCGTGCAAAGTTGGACTTGCACAGGGGAAGCCTCTGGCCTAGCGCTGATCTCCGGGCAAGGCACAGGCAGGGCTACATTTGATTTTTAGCATTCTGGCTCGGTTTTCCCGTCGGTTCTCAAAAGCCTGCTGAGGTGACATTGGTCTCAGAGGCACGGTTCCGAACTGCTCCCCGCGGAGTTGTTTCTACAATTTCCCTTCTGGAGCCCAGTATGCGCACGACTGCGATGGCATTGTGACCGGCGGTAGCTGCAATGTGTCCTGTGCAGAAGGATGGCTGGGAGCCAGCTCTGTGCTCAGCTGTGCTGCAGATGGTGGCCTATTTGGGAACTTCCCTAGCTGCTCATATGTGGTGGCCACTCAAACGCTAACTAGCACCACCGCCTTCACAGCGACCACAACCAACACTGACATCCTCTTTGAAATTCGGGTAGTTGTCTCTGGGCAAATTCTCCTGGAGGCCGGCTCATTCCCTGGTTTTGTATCATGATGGTAGAGGATAGGACCCCCAACAAAGACAGCACAGCAGGTCAACAGCTCGGTAGAGTTCATGTCCGATGCCGCCGTCATGGAGGCCTTTGCCACCGTGCTTGCTACCTTGATCCTTGCCTGTGCAGTGACTGCGCATCCTGCACTTTCAGGAGGCCGTCAGGTGAAATCGCACAGGGTTAAAATGCAGTGTTCGTCGTTTAGCACAACAGGCAGTCGTATAGTCGTATAGCATCCTTCAGCACCGCTGATCCGTCTTGGTTTTCATGCCTTGCCCAGTTCACTGGAGCAGCCAAGGATCGGTACCGAACCTGAGCGCATGTCAGTGTCTTTCACAGCCGCGCGGCGCCTGCAGGACGCAGTGCTTGCGCCAGTGTGCAGGTCAATGACTTCCCGACTTTATCCTCCGTTCTGCACATTTCCTTTGACCCTTGGCTTGGCCACCCAGAGGCGTGAAGCACCTAAGCCGCAGTACCGAAAGCGTCTGCAGTGTCCTCAACAGGACGCCGGCATGCCCATGGAATATTCCCTTCCGCGGCGGCTTGCAGAGCAGGCGTAAGTGAATGCACCTTGTTAGGGCCAGCCAGGACAGCTTTGGCCACTGCCTGCCTGGTTCAGTTCGTCAATTGCTGGATTCGTGGTTTCGGGACGAGGGGCCTTAAGAACTTCACACATGCTGCGAAGCCCCACTGGTGATGCATCATCCATCAGCCAGGGATGTTGCTGTTCCCGTTCTTAGCAGCCACCTGCAGATCTGTTCATTCCTGATGTTTCTCTGAACTTGACACAGGTGCGGGCGCATTACCAAACCTGGATCATGGGGCAGACGCAGACAGAAGCAGACAGTGGCTCGTTTCATCAGGTGAGGCCACATTTGGGAATTTCACAATGCCCACGAAACATGCCTCATGTCTATGTGTACATATCAAACCCTCTCCAGGCCATGTAAGCCGCATTGCGACTTCCAGTAAGGTTTGGGGTTGAACATCAGCTCCGGTATGAACTCCACCAACCTGAGCCTCTTTGGCGATCTGCTTTTGGCGCAGCTGGCACAGCGGCTTGGCTGGACACAGACCCTGCACAAAAGTGCACCACAAAAGTGCACAAAGGCATAATATCATGGCATGGCTACAGCCCAGGAAGGGAGCTTACTACGCCTTGGACGTTCAGTCGCACAATGTGGACATCAGCGTCGGCTCCCGCCGCTTGGTTCGAAATTTGTGTGTGGAACGTCCTGGCCATGGAAGGTAGTTGTAAAAATTTACGTGCAGGTAGTGTGCGTTCATACCATGTCAGATGTCCCGGACATCCCTACTAAACTCCGCAAGCTCCATCTTTCAGCACCCTGACGCGGTATGTAGTGCTCTGATTTCCAAGCACCCTCGCAGTTTCTCCCGGGTGGACTTAGAGCCGATAGAGCGCGAACATCCTGAATATTGGCCTTGACCCTTCAACCCTGAACATCCATAGGCCATGAGAGGCCATGTTCGTTGAATTGCACATCTTCTTAAGAGTGACATACACACGCACAGGCATTCAGGAGGTCGTTGCGAAGGCGAAGGAGCTTCACAACGCCTCCGTAACCTGCCCCATTGTTGGCTTGCCTGCTGTCCCAGGCCAGGGCGTTTGGGAATTACAAAACGTCAGGTTCAGGTGCTGGCGGTCAGAATATTCATTTTCAATTTTGGGGCTTGTGTAAGGTATGTGATACGCATGAACGCCTATCATATTCATTCTTAGTGTGAAACGAAGAAATCATGGAAACGGTGGAAACGGATGGATGGCTGGAGCCTTGCCCTGAGGTGCGAAAGCCTTTGACTGCCAGGAGCAGCGGCTGAATGCCTCTTGCGTTCCCGTTTGCCGTTTATGCTGGAAAGGTAGTCCAGAGCAGGGCACCGATAACTTGATTCCTGAGATTCCGCTGTCCGCCCTGCGACCTAGTATCCGCGCTAAATGGTCATCATCGTCCAATAGTGTTTCTCATGTTATTGGGAGTTGCGGCCGTATGCTCTGGTGTCCGACATAAGCTTGCTCTGTGCTGAGTTTGGGTTGATACTCGCCTGATCCGCAGTCAAAGTACAGAGATTAAGTATCAAGGAGACATGGTGTTTGATGATGTCGTTGCTGTGCTAGCTAGCAGTTCAGGAGCCTAAATTGGTGGGTCAAAGCTGCAGCGCGCCCTGCGAGTCCCAAGAGATCCTCGGCTGGCAGAGGGATGTACTACAGCAGCTTGCAGGCTTCACGACTGCAAGCATACTTGCGACTAGGGCTTACGCGGCAACTTCGCAGCTTGCGTGCATTTGAGCGAATGACTTAATTGTTCCTCTTCCCTGCTCGGCTGCGAGGCTTCCAAGTTCTAGGAGGGGGTTTGGCTGCCAGCAAGCGGAGTTCATGGCGGAAACAGGGGCCATCCAACTTGGCTTCAGGCTTCAGGGTCGGGGCAGGAAGGGGTCAAAGCTGCGGGAGCTTGGCTGCCTGCTCACAAGTTCATGAAGTCTTAGTTGCGGGCGGTGCTACTAGTTTGATACTGGTGTAGCTGTGTAGATGGACGGTCATTAGGTTGTTTGGTTTGAATTTAGCTTTGTGCTGATGAGCGACGGCGCAGACATGAACTGACGCTCAGGGCATCAAATACGATAGCTCGGAGGTGTACCCTAATCTAGGTGGCAACCGTGCGCAAAACTTCTGACCTCAAAGTTGGTGGCAGCGTGTTAGCCATCAACGCTCCGCATCTGAGGACAGCTTCTGTGTCGTGCCTGCCGGATGGGACGTGGCAGCCCTTTGACGCTGTTCAGAACCCGTTTTGTGGAATATCCCAGCTGAGCTGGAACCATGTGCAATGCTTATAGCCTTGGCTGAGTCGCGTAAGGGCTGACCAGGTTGAGAAGTGTGTGATCGCATGCTAGGATTTGCTAGGATGCTGTCCGATCAAGGCTGGAGGTCGACTGCGTGCCAGAGTCACTACCCAGCATTGTGCTGCTGGGTTGCACAGGTTCCAGGGCTTTGTCTGCTTGCGATTGCTTAGGGCCTCGGCAAGCGGACGTGCGGGAATGAGCACGGGCGGATTGATGTAACGGCATTATCCAAGAGCACCACGTGGCACCTTAATTGTTCATATGTAGCTGGTGGAATTCCTTGCATCTAGCTCCGCGAGCCGAGATGAGCAGACACCCCGGTGTAGAGTTGATTTACACAATCCAATGTGCGGGCAGAACCTCCCACCTTGGACAAATGATGCAGAACCATGTCTCCTATGCCAGCTCTAAAGACCCCATGAATCCTGCAGCTTCATCAGAAGTGCCTGGAATTCTTTCTGTTTAGTTCAGACTACCACGAAAGCAGAAAGACACGCGACAATGCCTGCACTCTTCTTCCTCAGTTGCCACTTTAAGTCATGAAAGACATGCAACTTCAATTTCTCAGGCTGGTATCAGCTGGAGGATCAGCCTTGGGCCTGTGCTGCCTCGTCGTCATCTGTGGCATCGTGTGCTCCCTTCGCACAAGCGACACTCGTTCTGATACCAGCTTTGTTTGGTGGCCCTGCAAGAGTAGCTGATCTCGACTTGGAATGGTGACTTTCCGAGAAGAGGGCTGATACGTGAACAAGAGGAAGCGTCAAACAACTGGAGAAGTTGCGTTCTTGTATTCCGGAGGGCCCTGAGTACCGAGTGGCTCTGAGGTCAAGACAGCTCCGGAACCTGAGCCAAAGGATCCAAGTGTGGAGGTGCCGTCACAGAACTTCTTTATCACAGGAGGGCACATCACCCCCTTCAAGAACCCAAACCTCACCGAGACAGAAAGAATGGACCAGGGTGTACGAAGACAAGAGTGTGTTATACATTGCAATGATCCTCAAGATCAAACGTAAACCCTTGCCGTCTGGCTGGCATCGCGTAAGGGCTTCAAATTGCTGAGGGTCAGACATTCGGCCGCAACGCCTCACATCATGGGACTTGACGTGATAAACATTGGTTTGAACTGCTTTGTGTCTGGGAGTCTTTGGCCCGCATAGGGTTGTCTTGCAGCTTTGCAGGTGCCACCTCTGCCACAGCCTTTGTCGCCGTCTCAGCTGCTCTTGAAGCATGAATTTCAAGTCTCTGCCCCGCGCGGTGCCTTAGAGCCCGAAGCTCTGAGAAGAACCTCCTTGTCGATTTTAATCGTAGCACCTCCGCCTCAGCAAAACACCTGGCCTGGAACATGCGAAGACATGTGTAGACGAGTGAGTTCCCCACCACGTGCAAAGCTTTCAACTAATTCGTGGTCGTCCCGGCAGCCTCGCCTGTAGAAGTTAGGCCCTCCATTCTCGAGCTGCCGAAGCAGGACGGTTTCCCTCACAAGTGCGGCCCTGCAATCTTTGTTGAGCTGTAGCTGAGCAAACTTCCCATTTGTAATACAACCATGGAGCACACCAGGCCATGTTATGTTGCTGATGTGCCCTACAAGTATTGGGAACACCCTTTGGGGCAGAAGCAGGCAGAAGCCCTTTCGTCCGAGTGTTTATGTGGGCAGGCTTTCATCAGTGCTGTAGTCCTTGGAACCTCAACTCGTCAATTCTGACTTCATTTGCTCATTCGCGGTGCGGAGCCATCCGTGGATCCAGACCCCAAAGAGATCATATCTACACTCACTGGCAGTAGTGAGAACCAGTTGCCAAACAGGACGACTTTGATTCCAGCTTCTGGAACTGGGCTGAAAGGCCAGCAGCGTTTCTCCTACAACCTTGTGCGCGCAGGGGTCACAGGAATGGGAAGTCCGTGGAAGGCTATTATGCAAAGTCCGGAAAGTTCGTTTCCGTGTGCTAATCTGATGTTTGCTTTGAAGGTGGGAGCAGAGCCGGCGACAGTCTAGAGTCTCGGCAGCATCTTCTTACATCCTCTTACCATGTTCTGACTACGGTCTTCTTCCTTGCTAAGCTCACTTACTTCTGCAACCCGTGCAATTGCAAAATGCCTCGGGTCCTATCCAAGTCATGACTTGCACCTGCAACTCTGCTGCTTGTGCGAATTTGCGCGAGATAGCAGCGGGCCTCGCCAGCTGCCTTCTCAACATGTGGCACCGTCCTAGAGATGGGTATGCTGCAGATTTCCATCTGCACCCATGTGTTTGAAGGTATGTGTGCGCAACATGACATCTCTTGATGCAAAACGACCTGAGCCCTGAATCTGCGACAAAGGTGCAGTGGACGTTCCTCTGGTGCCACCCCCGGCACTGCCTGGTGCCGTCGAACTCCGGAAGCACCATGGCAGCTATCATGGCATATAATGGCGCTTGTGTCCCTTTGAAATCCGCACGATCATCCTCCGAGACAACATTCATGATCCCTTGGATAAGTAGCGTTTTCGAGCGTGCGGGTATGGGGACCTGCACAGGCCTCAAGGCATACCTCGAGGCACATAGCATATGCATCACATATACAGACAGTACTGACAAGGTACGCCGGGGGACCTTGGTGTGCTTACAAAGATTCTACATGTGCAACGGGAAGGTGTATGCAGTCGGCCAAAGACTAAGCTATCTTGAATGGGCTGCAGGACCATCCATCCAGCACGAGAAATATCC